ATCCATGGAACTAGTTCAAGCTGACCTGTAGAATTAACAGGACATCTATGAGATAAGTAGTGGCCAACAAGTTCACAACAGAATCACCGATTCCCACTGTCTATCCAATCTGCTCCTTGGCCGAGCAAGTCTTCCCTATTCCAGGAAGCAGTGCCACCATCCACCCGGATACTATGGCTGCAATCTAGGAGCCATCGCTGATTGCTCTCCCTCCCTCCTGGCCTCACAGCCTTTCAAGCTTTCCCAGCTGAGTCCTCAGATACCAACGTCGTGGAGCAGACAAGCCATCCCCTGGCTCTACCCTGTGGGAATTCTAGCTGCACAGAATGCGTGAGCATAATCACGTGGCCATTGTTCCACAAAACTAAGTTTTGGAGTAGTCGATGACCGGAACACATTCTATTCATGTATTCTTCATTTAAGTAATCCTCTATTTCATCAGTACTTCTTTCATTTTCCATAGTCCGTTCCATTTCAGTTTTATTGTCTATTTCATCCTTCATAACCTTGAATTCTCCCTCCAAATTTCATCCCATTAGTTTCTATTCCATTCTGGTACTTTAAAGTTTTAGTGGATCTTTCATAGTCCATTGATTTCATGTCATTGCATCATTGCATATTCTGTCCTACTCTATATTCCTTCCTATTTAATATTTCTTTCCTCCTATTTTTNTTTTTAAAAATATTTTACTTTGCTGTATATTTCATTCCTTTTATAATGTAACTTGTACAATGTCTACGTGTATTTTTATCCCACACGCCATAATTATTTCCATTCTCCTTTCCATTCCATTTTCCCATTATATTCCATTCAATTGCCATCCCATTCAATTTTCCATTCCATATCCTGTTCAAGTCCATATTCCATCCTCCATTTCATTCCAGTTTCCGCTGCAATCAGTCTCCACTGCAATCAGTCTCCATTTCATCCCGTTCTGCGTTCCATTTCAAATCCATTTTCCATTCCATATTGTTTGACATTCCAAACACCATCTCATTCCATTTTGTGTTGTTTCACTCTGGTTGCTCAGCCAGTCCAGTCAACATCCCATTTCATTCTGCAAAATTGTTATAACAGTGACTTTCAGGAGAGTGTCTTGCTAATATTTTAATCAGGGAATCACAAATGTGCATGGCCTGCACCAAGAATTTCCTGTCCTGGGAATTTATCCACAACAAGATGATTGAAGAGGTGAACAACTTTTTTAGTAAGAACGATGTGCCTCACAGTGATGGTACTGGGTAGTGAAAAGTTGGAAACACCATAAAAGCTGGTCAGTATTGGAATGTTTGAAACTGTAAGCTTCTTCTCTAAATGGAATGTTTTGTAGTTAAAAACGGCTTGTGGAAGTGTATTTATTGACGTGGAAAGAGTGTTTGGACTTTCAAAAGCAGGTTACAAAACAATATCTAAGGAGAAAACGATTCCATTTCATAAAACAAAACAAAGACAATGAAAAATATGGAATATATACAAATGGCCTTTCTACCAACACATAAGTAAAGACTTCCCCTGTCTGCCTGTGGGTATGTGGGAATTTAGGTGCTAGTTTCCTTACATTTGCTTTTCTGTTTACGGTACTGAACATGCAACCCGTTAGTAATGATGACTAAAAACGAGTGTCCAAATATGAAACTTCAAGTCTGTGCATCACAGCATATTTATATCAACAGAAACCAGAGACTAGTCCAAATAAATGAATGTACATTCGTCTGTGGATTTCCATGCAGCTCATGCAAATGTTATGCATATTTAAGGACAGTATCACCCTTAGTCCTATGCAACCTGGTCAAGGCAGGGAGAAACCTCTTACTGGAATATTCTAAATCCCCTTCTGGCATGCGAGGCTTGAGGGAGGCAGCAGGTCCCCTCCCTTTTCTTGCCTTCAGGCCTCTCTCCAACCCTGAAACCCACCGGACCCCGCATCGTGTCATCCAGATGCCTGGAGTCCTGGAGAGTCCCTTCTGGGGTCACACAGGGGCACAGTGTCCTGACTAGATGCCAAGAGGGACACATGGCTAGGGGATATAGCCTCTGGGTCAGCGTGGTATTTCTTCTAAGCTATCACTCGAGATTGAGCCACCGGAATGGTGCTGACAAGCTGATGTGGAGCGACTCAAATATTCCTAGAGACAGACTCCCCCTGTCACCCCCGCGCCTCCCCCGAAACACACCCCCCCCCCCCGNTTTGTCTATTTCATCCTTCATAACCTTGAATTCTCCCTCCAAATTTCATCCCATTAGTTTCTATTCCATTCTGGTACTTTAAAGTTTTAGTGGATCTTTCATAGTCCATTGATTTCATGTCATTGCATCATTGCATATTCTGTCCTACTCTATATTCCTTCCTATTTAATATTTCTTTCCTCCTATTTTTAAAAATATTTTACTTTGCTGTATATTTCATTCCTTTTATAATGTAACTTGTACAATGTCTACGTGTATTTTTATCCCACACGCCATAATTATTTCCATTCTCCTTTCCATTCCATTTTCCCATTATATTCCATTCAATTGCCATCCCATTCAATTTTCCATTCCATATCCTGTTCAAATCCATATTCCATCCTCCATTTCATTCCAGTTTCCGCTGCAATCAGTCTCCACTGCAATTAGCCTCCATTTCATCCCGTTCTGCGTTCCATTTCAAATCCATTTTCCATTCCATATTGTTTGACATTCCAAACTCCATCTCATTCCATTTTGTGTTGTTTCACTCTGGTTGCTCAGCCAGTCCAGTCAACATCCCGTTTCATTCTGCAAAATTGTTATAACAGTGACTTTCAGGAGAGCATCTTGCTAATATTTTAATCAGGGAGTCACAAATGTGCATGGCCTGCACCAAGAATTTCCTGTCCTGGGAATTTATCCACAACAAGATGATTGAAGAGATGAACAACTTTTTTAGTAAGAACGATGTGCCTCACAGTGATGGTAATGGGTAGTGAAAAGTTGGAAACACCATAAAAGCTGGTCAGTATTGGAATGTTTGAAACTGTAAGCTTCTTCTCTAAATGGAATGTTTTGTAGTTAAAAATGGCTTGTGGAAGTGTATTTATTGACGTGGAAAGAGTGTTTGGACTTTCAAAAGCAGGTTACAAAACAATATCTACGGAGAAAACGATTCCATTTCATAAAACAAAACAAAGACAATGAAAAATATGGAATATATACAAATGGCCTTTCTACCAACACATAAGTAAAGACTTCCCCTGTCTGCCTGTGGGTATGTGGGAATTTAGGTGCTAGTTTCCTTATATTTGCTTTTCTGTTTACGGTACTGAACATGCAACCCGTTAGTAATGATTAATAAAAACGAGTGTCCAAATATGAAACTTCAAGTCTGTGCATCACAGCATATTTATATCAACAGAAACTAGAGACTAGTCCAAATAAATGAATGTACATTCGTCTGTGGATTGAACATGCAACGCTTTTGTAATGATGACTAAAAATGAGTGTCCATGTTGCTGTGAATGGTAGTTTCATTGTTTTTTATAGCACAGTAGAATTCCATTGTGTAGATATACCACATTTTCCATATCCACTCATCTGATGATGGACATTTGGGCTGGTTCCAGCTCTTGGTTATTGTAAATAGTGCTGCAATAAACATTGGAGTAAAAGTATCCCTTCGACATGATGATTTCCGTTCCTCTGGGTATATTCCCAGCAGTGGAATAGCTGGAGGACTTAGAAAAAATTATATTAAATGAAATAAGTCAGGCACAGAAAGAGAAATACCATGTTCTCACTTATTTCGGTGAGCTAAAAATAAATAAATACACAAACAAATGGAGGGAAGGCGGGGAAGAAAACACAATAATGAGAATTCCTTGAACTTGTTAAGACAAGTGAACAGATATAATGTTGATGGGTGGGGGGGGAGAGGGTGGAGGAAGGGAAGAATCGGTAAAGGGACACGAAAATCAACTACATTGTATACTGATAAAACAAAATTAAAAAAAAAAAAAAACTGAGCAGGGTAAACAGGATCTGGGTGAAAGAATCACATAAAAAAAAATAACTTTTACCAGGAACTGAAAATAGGTATTATATATAATTCTGAATGATTAGATTGATTAGAACAACATATCACTTAAAATTTAACAAAATTATTTTTTATCCTAAATAAACTCACATTTTAAATGTATAAAAAAAAAGTGTCCAAATATGAAATTTCAAGTCTGTGCATCACAGCATATTTATATCAACAGAAACTAGAGATTAGTCCAAATAAATGAATGTACATTCGTCTGTGGATTTCCATGCAGCTCATGCAAATGTTATGCATAGTTAAGGAGAGTATCACCCTTAGTCCTATGCAACCTGCAGCCTGTGCCTCAGGGGTCAAAGGAGGGAGAAACCTCTTACTGGAATATTCTAAATCCCCCTCTGGCATGCAACGCTTGACGGAGGCAGCAGGTCTCATCCCTTTTCTTGCCTTCAGGCCTCCCTCCAACCCTGAAACCCACCGGACCCCACATCGTGTCATCCAAGTGCCTGGAGGAGTCCTGGAAACGGAGAGTCCCTTCTGGGGTCACACAGGGGCACAGTGTCCTGACTAGATGCCAAGAGGGACACATGGCTAGGGGATATAGCCTCTGGGTCAGCGTGGTATTTCTTCTAAGCTATCACTCGAGATTGAGCCACGGGAATGGTGCTGACAAGCTGATGTGGAGCGACTCAAATATTCCTAGAGACAGACTCCCCCCCTCACCCCTGCGCCTCCCCGGAAACACACCCCCCACTCAGGGGCCGGGTTTAACATACGGGAAATCCCCACTCTTGACCGCGTCAGGGCAGATCACCGAGGGGCGGAGCACATCCTCCTGTTTGAAGCCAGATGGCTCTGGGTTGGATGGCTCCGGGGAGAGGTGTCACGTGACATGTGGCTCACCAATCGGAGGTGAGGATTTGGCAGGGCCCGCCCACCCTCCTCACCCCAAAGGCCGTGGCTCTACCTTCCGTGGTGCAAGCAGCTACGCTCTAGTGCCTCAGAGCGAGAACCTGGCGTTATGGCCACCTGGTCCCACGGGCAGAAGGAGCAGAAGCTCCAGCAAGGTGAGGTACCCAAGCTCCAGCAGGGTGAGGTACCCGCAGAGCCGAACGACGAGGCCGCCGGTGCCCCTGGCGAGGCCTGTGGGACCGGTAATCACGATCCTGTCGCCTCGGTCCCCACAGCCTGGAGTGATGACGTGTCTCCCTCGGGCGGCGTCTCCCTGCGCAGCAGCCCAGCAGGTTCGTCCACCGCCTCCGTCTCCGCCGCCATTTCCATGGCCGATGAGGACCCGGGGCTTCCGTCCGTGGCCTGTGTGCAGGCGAAGAGGCGCTCCGACCCGCAGGGCCGCCGTAGTCTCCACCCAGAGCTTAGACAGGTGGTGCCCAAGACGGACGGCCAGGCCGCTCTCGGGCAAGCCCCGGAGGGCACTGGCCAGGCCAGCGGGCACCCGAGGCCCGGGAACAGCCGTCGTAGGAAGCGGCCCTGCCGCGAGCAGGCTGCCCAGGCTCAGAAGCCTCCAGGGCGCCATCTGCCTCAGCCGTCTGGGCTTTCGCCGCCATCTTCTCCAAGGTCTCGGCGCCGCCGCCGCCGCCGCGGTGCTCACACTTCTCCGCAGAGTCCCGCATCCCGCCCAGGGCCTGCCGTCCGCAGTCAAGCAGGCGGCGCAGGCGCTGCCCTCCGCGACCGTGCACCTGGTCCAGGTCCTGCTCGCCGCAGCTGCACTAGCCCGGCAGGGCCTGCCCTCCGCAGACGTGCATCAGAACCAGGCCCTGCCATCCAAGGCCGCGCCACCCGGTCAGACCCTGCTGTCCGACGCCGCCCATCTGCGAAACGTCCAGCTCTTCGCAGCGGTGCATCCCAGGCTGGTCTTGCTCTCCCCGGCCGCGACACCCCGCCAGGCCCTGCTTCCCACGGCGGTGAATCCGGGTCAGGATCTGCTCTCCGACGCCGCTGTTCATCTGCGCAAGGCCCTGCTCTCCGTGGCCGCTCGGCAAGTTCAGGCCTTACTCTTAGCAGCACCAGCACGGCGCCAGGGCCTGTCCTCCAGAGACGCTCCACCCAGCGAAGGTCAGCGCTTCTCGGCCGCCACTCCCTGTCTGGGCCGGCTGGCGGGAATCCTCCCGCTGGGTTCGCCTTTCGGAGCAGCCCACGCTCTCCTGATCCTCAGGTCCCAAGCCTTGGTTCTCAGCCTACTTGGCATGCAGTCCGTATGCGTGCCTCCTCACCCTCACCTCCTGGTAGGTTCTTTCCTTTCCCTGAGCAATATGGTGAGACCTCCTCCTCCTCCTGTACCTCCTTCTCCTCCTCCTTCACCTCCTCCCCTAGGTCTCCTGGCCGAAGCCCTTCCTCTTCCCCTACTGAGTTTTCTGGCCAGAGCCCCCATAAGTTTCTTCCTCGTCCCCGTAAGTTTTCAGGCCTGAGGTCCATCTCCACTCCTAGCCCTACCAGCCTTAGGCGCGCCTTGCTGCCGGAGGTTGATGCCCTGAGCCCTGCCTTTCCAGGAGAGCAGGCCGAAACAGGGAGCCCTCACCGCCCTATGACGCCTGCAGTGTGACCACCCCCTGTGAGCATCCTCCAGGACCCGCGACTAAACTGTACTAAAGACATTACACTCTTGTATGTTCTGTCTGGATAGCATGGACAGTACTTAATTATTTTCCATCCTTCATTCAGAGCAGTGCACTTTTAGTAATAGTAGTGCCCATTTATTGAGACACTAGTAAATCGGCACTAATACCTGATGATAACCCCGGCAGGTAGGATTTATTTTTCTCATCTTACAGATGACCAAACAGGTTCCAAAGCATAAATGGTCTTACTGGTCAAAAAATGAAAAACTGTAGCACAGGATATATCTGACTCCGAAGCCTTTCTGCTCAAACTCCCTTCAGTTTCAGTAATGTAGTGTCATTACAGACTGACTTCCCAACTGAACTGTAGGCTCAGTGAAGGCAGTGGCCAAGATGCCTCACTGTTGTGTACTTGTTAAGGTCCTCAGAGAAGCAGATGTTAAGACAGGATTAAATGTGGGAGAAATTTATTAGGATAAATGCCTGTGAGAGAAAATGTGGAAGGAGCTGGGAGAGACTGGGAGCGCTGTGATGCTAGATTGACCTGGAGCAAAGGAGAGAGAGAATGAAGGTCGAATAGAAGTACAGTTATCTTAAACTGCCATGTAGTTCTAATGAAAGTTCAGTAAGTCGTCATGGCATCCATGGGCCAAAGTTGCCCATCAGAGGAGCCCCATGTCTCCGGAAATGGGCTTGCCTTAGTATCTCTGCCACACCAGTCATTGACTGAGACCAGCTTATGGGAAACATGGCTTCAGTGCAAATGTGGCAATGGATTTTGGTGTGCTACAGATGGTATCTTTGTTCAATTATGCTCCCTGAAGTTAGAGATCTGCAAGGCACATTTTCATGGCCCCAGATCTATTGTAAGTGTGTGGTAGTACTCAAGTAGCACCTACTGACTCACTTATATGGGGATTTAATTTGTATTTAAAAATGGTCTAGAAAACAGTTTGAAAATTTCTTATAAAACTAAATGTGCAATTACCATATGACCCAGCAATTGCACTCTTAGCCATTTATCCCAGAGAAATGAAAACTCCTGTTCACATAAAAGCCTGTAGACAGATGTTTATGACAGGTATGATTCCATTTATATAACATTGCTAGGGTTAGGGAGAAGTGGATTGCGGAGGGAAGTGGGTATGGTCATAACATGGGAACACAAGGGATCCTTGTGGTTATAGAATTGTTCTATATCTTGACTCTGGTGGTGGATACATGAACCTACACATGACAAACACACAAACAAATGAATATAAGAAAACGGGGGAAATTGTAATAAATGGATTATATCAATGTCAATATCTTGGTTGTGATATTTTACAATAGTTCTTCAAGATGATACCATTGGGGGGAACTGGGTAAAAGGTGCACAGGATTTCTCTGTATTATTCTTACAACTGAATGTGTATCTAAAATTATTTCAAAACAAAAAGTTTAACAAAAAAATGATTTTATGTGACAAGATAAAATCTTTAATGAGATCTTGTGACTATAAGCTTTCTTAGCAGAGCCTCTCTCTAGCATAAGTGTGAGAAATGGAAGATTTCTCTTCCATTACCTTCATAGTGGTAAAGCGATTTCTTATTTCTGAACAAACTGGATATAGGAAATTTGTCTATTGTAAGAGAAAGAGCAGAGTAGTTAATACTAGATCTCTGGATTTGGACAAATTGGTTTAAATCCAGTTCCTGCCACTTACTAGTTATGTAGTATTAGAATAGTTGTTTAAGCTCTATGTGCCTCTGTAAAACATTGATAATAATGTCAGCTATATAGATTTGATGGTTCATTAATTAATACATGCAATTAGAATTGTTCATGGTACATGGAAAGTACTCAGTATATATCAAGTTGTTTCTCTAGGTTAGCATGTCTCAACAACTCTTTGATTTCCAAAACCCCATTATGGCAACAGCATCCCCAGGACAACTGGGATGTGTCCTCCAAATGCCCATCACCTCAATCCGCCCTAATATTTGAGATGTGGGTGTAGCATGACCTCTGGTGAAAGTGCTTCATTTTTCAGGCTTTACACATTTTGAAGCTACAGACAAATCAGAAGGAGATAAGGCATTTCCATTTGGATACGTGGGGAAAAAAGTGAGGCAGCCAGGAGAACTTGGATATAAGGAAAAAAAGATTGTACTCTAAGGGTTAACTACAAAATAAGAGCAGATATATTTAAAAAGCACATTTAAAGATAAGATGGGCTCTGCGACCAAAGCAAGACCTAGACTTGACTAAAGATGTTACCACAGGTGCTTCTCAAACTTTTATGTGCATAGAAATCTCAAAGGTACCTTTGTTAAAATGCACATTTTGATTCAAGTAAAAAATGGGGTGGGGCCTGAGATTCTACATTTTTAAGAAGCTCCCAGATGATACCTATGCTGCTGGTCCATGGACCAAACTTTATTAGCAAGGAGAACCAAAATGGCTTGAGGATCTTCAGTTACATTTAGGATTAAGACTATATAAATTATTTAATCAAAATAGCCAACGGATATAAAAAATAATGGTAAAAAACAGCTGAGATATGATTTTATTTTTCTAAAATGTCAGTATTTTAGTATAAAATATGAATTTGTAATCTTTTTCTATGGCCAAGTGGAAATTCTTTTTTTCCAAATCAAGAAATATGTTTTTGAAATTCCCTGTGACATGTGTAAGTCAATTGGAAGTTAATTGGATTGAAATCAAGGAACAAAAGTCTCGGACAGCATTGCTTTTGATGAATCCTCTCAAAAGATAATTGAACTTCTTAATTATGAGCATTTATGTCCATTTGAAGACGTTGTCTATCAGGAATGTGTGCTTGTGTGAGCACCTGGCCAGTTAATATACAATAAATGTCTAGATATGTTTTAAGTGTTCTGTAGTTCCTATCTTGGGATATGGTGGAGCCATAAATCTTCAGTATAATATTTAAAGACCTCTGGGTCCTTAGTTTACAAGTATCATAAGCATTTAACTAAATTGTTATCATAAATTGAATTGTGTGCTTAATTACTGATTTCATTTTGCACTTCAGTTCAAATTCCATGCAGGTTTCAGAGATTCTCTTTATCGAAAAAAACAAAGAAGTTTTCTTGTGATCCTCTTCAGCCGGAGCCAGCCAGTGTGGCAGCAAGAGAGAAAGAATCAACAATGCTTAGGTGAAAGTAGGATTAAAAAAAAATCGTTCATTAGTGGTCTTTGCAATAAGGCTTATGTTCACAGCAGAGAAAAAATAAGGGAAAGAGAGGAAATGGTTTAGGTCTTTTCGAAGAATTTTCACTCTTAGATACCACTTCTGGGCAAAGAAGTCAGAATGACCAAAAAGACAGAAAAGAGAAAGCCCAGAGTGGCAAGGTGACCCCCTGCTACAGTCTCATATGACTAATGTTGAAAATCATACTGACTGTTTAAATTTAAGAAAAATATTTCTATTGTTATTATAAAGTAAGACAGTGCATATGTATGCGTAAAATAAAACATGTGTTGTCTACAAGGCATGAGTTCTTGTCATTCAATAAAATTCTACATTATAATTATGTGTGAATAGTTCTAAGAGGATCACCAGTATTTCATTTTTCAGTGGCCAATTAGTTAAATTTACACATAGATTTTAGAATGGTTGAAACAAGAAAGCCTGTTTATTATGGGAAATATATTGAATCTGGTGTTTGTAGAAAAAGTCTGTATCACCCAACCTTGTGTGGGTAGTGATGCAAACATTTCTGTTACTTTTTCGTGATCTGTTTAAGCCAGGATTTCTCAACCTTGGCACTATTGACATTTTGGGCTAGCGTTCCTGGCTCTTCTACATACTAGATGCTAGTAGAAAAATCCCAGTTGTGACAATCAAAAGTATCCCCAAATGTTATCAAATGTCCCTGGAAGTAGGGGAGCAAAGTTTTCCCTGGTTGAGAACCACTAATTTAAACAAATAACAATTTTCCAGAAAATACTGTTCTCTTTGTCAGCAATGTTCTCTACTGCATCTC